TTTGAAATACAGTCAGTAGTTGTTTAGTTAAAGGTAGGTAATTACTAATTAATTAAGGTACTAATTATGATCAAGGTCAAAAGGAAATCGCGGCACGTGCGTAATCGCGATTTTTTCCCATTCTCCGCGACAAATCGCGATTTTTGACGTTTGCCGCAACGATTTTGTTAATTCTCCTCGACAAATTGTGCATTTTTCTTTAATTTATCACGTTCTTTATAATTATATGGAACTAATCACATCCACAGCCTTCCAAATGTAGGTACGGACCGAACAAGTATTTTCTGCTCATAATGATCAGGGTAGCATGAAACATGAACTTGAAGTAGTTTCCAGAAAAACTTTGAAAATAATATCGATTTATAAAATTTTCGGTCCGAGTCATTCTCGATAGCTAGGTACAAGGAGAGTGCCTCGGCCCTCGATATGTTAGTTACTGTCCTTGTTTCTATATAAACATAACTTTTACAATAATTCTTGCGTAATAATTATAATGATTTTCTATTATCACTCGAAGCCGCACAGACCTTCTATCTACACACAAACCAACTAGCAATTGTCATTTCTCTAATCCTATGAACCAGTGTATCCCTAATTCATAATTCGTGTAACAACGAGTAAGTTACAGCTTGAATCAATATAGCTTCCAGTATGCTGTTTGATAGCAGTAATATATTCGAGATAATGTTATCCTAGTGTAAGCAAGGCATACGTCCGGGAATTCACTATCGGAGTTGAAATGCAAAAGTATAAATCCGCCTATTGTATTCTAAAAACCCATTACATTTATTTCGGTAGTTAAAACGGTGCAAAAGTATGAAATCACTCAGTCAAAGCATACTTCAATTCAATTCTGAGTGCTCCTCACGTATCTACTAGTAATACTTGATACAGCATATCTGTCGAGTATGGGAGAGAGAGAGAGAGAGAGAGAGAGAGAGAGAGAGAGAGAGAGAGAGAGAGAGAGAGAGAGAGAGAGAGAGAGAGAGAGAGAGAGAGAGAGAGAGAGAGAGAGAGAGAGAGAGAGAGAGAGAGAGAGAGAGAGAGAGAGAGAGAGAGAGAAAGAGAGAGAGAGAGATTTGGGTCACAAAATCATCAATTAAACCACTTATCACCGGCCGATTAAAAAAACTTAGGCTCTTGTGCTTCGTCAGAGTTTTGTGGGCACAATACCGAAAAAAAACAGCCACGTACCTCTTACCGTTTTCTAACTCAACAATGTGTCGATCGTAGGCATCATGAAGAAGAGTCTGTTTAGATCTTAACACTATTCCTTGGCTAACACACTAAAGATTATTAATATACATATGTAGATGCTATTATTTTGCCTGACGATCCTGTCGCTCCCTAATCTTAAACTATACTAACAATCTAGTTAATCGTTTTTGAAACTGTGTTTGAAAATGATCTCTATTGCCAAATTGCTTTTAGGCCTTCTGTGTGGGAAAATCAAGAATTTTTGGCTGCGGAAAACCGCAAACATATCTTCAATTCATGTCTGTGCGAAAGTTTAAGTTGTATGCACTCTACATTTCTCAGGATATGGTTGCCTCTACTCTGCAAGGCACATATAATAATTTGTGATAACTAAGACAGATGGTGCAAGCTGGCCATGTTTTACTCGTGGGTCATTTTGTAACTGGGTTGTAGTATAGGAGAAAGCCATTTTGTAACATACTATTTTGAAGGTTTTAATGTGGCCATTAAACATTTTCTGGGGCCTAGCTCCAAATGCTTAAGAACTGTCCTGTTTCACTCGCCGACATTGTGAAAGTGGAAAATTCGCGAGCGAAGCAAGCGGGCCACAAAAAGCAGAAAATTTGTATCTGCGAGGAAATTTTTAACTTTTTGGATGTGGGGCAATCGCTACTCGCGACTGCGTAAAAATAGGTGTTTGCCTAATAACTCAACAACCTGACGTCCGAGGATTTTGAAATTGTGCTCGACCCCAGTTAATATGATGATTCCGAACATTTTAGTGCCCAGGATGAGCACCTAGCTCAATCAGAAGCCGAGATATCTCGTATTTAGTGTGCAAATAACAACTCGCGAGAGCAAAAAAAAGGTGTGGTCACATAACTCAACAACCTGATGTCTGGTGAATTATGCTCTACCCCCCTGAATATGATGATTCTGAACAACTTTAAAGCCAAGTTTAGCTCCTAATTTCAATTAGAAGCGGATTTATTTTGATTTTAAAGTCGCGAAAGCGCCAAAAAAGGGCGTGGTCAATTGCGCAAAACTGCCCCATATTCAGAAAGTCTACCCAAGCCAAATTTGTTTCTGAGGGGTCCCTTGAGCCGTTCCAGGTCTCAAACCTCGGGGCGGAAGACTTTTCTACGGGAATATTCTCAGATCCATGACTATAATTCATAATTCGTGTAACAACATCATGAAGAAGAGTCTGTTTAGATCCCTTTTGTCAAGTAAAAAGTATATTTACACCAGCGTACTAAACTACGAAGTAAAGAGTTTACACGAAGGCGTAAAAAAGTGCAGTATTAGGTAAATAGTGAGATTCCGCACCCACCGCTTTTATATGTTGCCTCTGATGAACTTCCATGATTAATTGCTTTTAATCTTCCATGTGGTAATTACCTTTTTATCCCTTCGCCGATTTCTTTGTTTATCATTTTTTCCTTTTGTTAGTTTTAGAACTTCCCGGTAGTAGCGTACTTTAATTAAAATGGTTCACGAGCAGCTACTCTGTTATTATCTAAATATCTACCTGGTTAAGCAATAATTACATAAATTAGTGAAAGCTGTGGCACGTGTACTTAGTTTAGTGTTCCTGCATAGCCACGATCTTCATGCATGATTTAATTATGATGAGTTCACTTCTTTTACAACTATTTTGAGTTGCATGATGCTGTTTACCTTAGGTGTTATGGATGCTAAAAACGTTTTTATTCCAAAATCAACAGTCCATAACAACTTAGCTGTTTAATATTTCTCCTTTCCCCGATTTCTTTTTGTCTCCCTTTTTGTTGGTTTTAGTTCACTATTTGATGCATTACTTACTTCAGTTACCAAATGGGATTAGGAAAACTCATGATGAGTTACATAAAGAAAATTTTTGCGTCACCATCTAAATCATCTAAACTTAGTGAACAAGAGGCGAAAATAAAGAGGAGTGATGGACATGAAATGAACCTTGATGAGCTTTTTCAAGGATCAGGATTAGGCAAAACTCAATTCTTTCTGTGGGGGCTTCAGTTTCTCATCGCCTTGGTGCATCTGTCTATATACTTCATGACAACTATTCTCATTCCCTATCTACGCTGTGAGTGGGGTTTTAACACCTGGGTTGAAGTGGCTGTTGGATCAGCTTTACCTATGTCAGTTGCAGTGAGTGGAGTTGTAGCTGGTAATCTTGCTGATAAAGTTGGAAGGAGAATGGTCTTATTGGTAACAACCGTGTTCTTGGCAATTGGCTCCATCATGATTGTTGTTTCACCAAACGTTTGGGTCCTGCTGGTTGCTCTTATAATACAAGGGATTTGTACTGGTATTGCCTATCCTGTTTGCTTTGTCTAAGCTGTAGAAATCACTGCTTCCAATAACAAAGAGCTAGCCGTCATGATCGTGCATCTCGGCGGGCAGTTCGGAGGGGTATTCTTGTCCACAGTCTCCTACTTTGCTATCAACAATATAGGATGGCGGTATGTGGTGGCAGTGATTTCATGTCCGTTTATTGTCATTCTCATAGGCCTGATCATGTGTCCAGAAACCCCACGTTACTTGCTAGTTCATGGGAAAGGTGAAGAAGCGATACAGTCGTTAAAGAAAATCTATGAGTGGAATAGAGACGTTTTTCCAAAAAACTGTGTATCTATTAAAAAGTCTGATATTGTCGAAAAAGCTGGAAAGTTGCTGGACATATTTAGTTTCGAATACAGAAAGCCCACCATACTTCTGACAACCACATTGTCCGCAAACTATTACATATTCTTAGCATTTGCGGCATACCTTCCCCTCGCTTCAGAGAATACAAAAGAAAGTCAGAACATTTACTTTGCAAATGATACTTTATGCCAAAATATCCTTGACAAGAAAGCTCTGGCAGGAAATATTGTAGCTTTTTTTGGGGACGTCCTTGGGGTTCTCTTATCAGGATTTCTTGCAAAGAGGGTGGGTCGGAAATTCATCGTCATCGGCTTCTCTTTACTAGCTCTGTTATGCACCATAGCAGGCTTTTTCGATTTAAATCAAACCGTGAAGATGATCTTGAACATGCTACTTCGCTTGGTTGGAACTGGGTTACGGTATAGAATATATCTTATTACCGTGGAATGTTATCCCACCGTCCTCAGAAGCACAGCTTCAACCTTCATACACTCTCTTGGGGACGCTGGTGGCACAGTTGGCAGTTTCCTCACGTACTTATTGTATCCAGTAAGTCCGGTATCTGTGGTGAGCTTGTTTGTTGGGGCGGCAGCGGTACAACTGATGGCATCGGTATTTTTGAACACTGAAAACAAAGATTTAGCTGATCACACAAAAAGGGCAGATTCAACAGGACATGATTCTCAAAAAGACGAAAATTATGTGCTTAACCGAGACTTTTAAATCGTTATTTTCCAATTTCTAAACGTTTTATTCGTATTGCAAAGAATTGAGTGTTCAGATTTGCTTCATAAATAGCTAAGTGGGTAGAGTTAGGAAATATTCAGCAAATCTGGCTTGTTAAGAGAATATCATTAATATAATATACATAATATAATTTGTTTATAAATAAATCATCATTCAAATTTTTGAAGTGATGCACATTTGTGAACTACTTCTTGAGTTTCAAATCGAATAGTTTTTAATTCCTTCGAATCACTGTGGCCTGTAAGTCTGACTGATGCAGATGTAGATAGTCGGCTGCTGTTTACAGCAGCCCTCGTCGGAGGTAAGGGGAAATAACAGTTTAAGATTACTGTCAAGTGAACCACTAAACGTTTTGTTTTCTATGTTTTTAATCAGACAAGACAGCTGACTTACATTGAAAATTGCAGGAGCGAGAAAAGAGGAGAAGGAGAGTGCTGGTTGAACAGTTGGCAGCGCACGAAGCTATCGAGCAAGCCAAACACGAGGACATGCTCGTCACGTGTCTGATGAGACAGTCGCAGCTGGAGCGCCGCATTGCGCTGCAGCTCCTCCAAGTCAGACTGGAGAAGGACGTAATTAGGAACAACCGGCTCCAGAGGGAGCAGCAGTACATGCAGCGCCGGTTGAAGGATTTCGACGAGGCGCTGAACTTAGAGGCGGAGGTGGCGCGCCTGACTAAGCAAGAGTACGAGGAACAGTGTCAGAAGGAGTTAGCACGTCACGAGGCCATAGCTGCGGAGAACCAAAACGCTAAATACATGAAACACTTCAATATGTGCAGAGATGTGAGTGGTTACTTTTTAGCGGTTAAAATTGAATTTGGATTTATAAACTGAAACACACTATAAACTGAAACACACTATATTGGATATGTTTAACAAAATTTTTGTTGTGACCAGTTTATTTACCAAGGATTATCCTGATTTTAATTTACTTCTACTAGTAGGTTTAACAAGGTTTTTATATCATATTATCAGAAACACCATTTTCATACCACCACCGTAACAAGTATTACTATGTCAGACGTTGATGCAGATAGTAGATATGTCGTGCATTGCTGGACAGTATAGAAATCTCTCCGAACAGCCAATACCAGTGCAGATGTGGAGACAGTGGAAGGTAACTTCTGAACAGGAAAAATGTTGTTTTGTACCCCCCCCCCCCCTATGTTTTGTACCCCCATTTTCGTTTTTTCTCGATTCATTTGAGTTCTGATAATCTGTTTTCGCTTTTTTGAGTGGGTCGATTCTGTTCCGATTTCCAATTCAAAACGAATATTTGAGATAATTATGATTGGAAGCTATAACAAATCTGCCATTTTAAGGCACTGTTCGTGGCGGGCAAGCCGTTCTACGAGGACAGAGCAGAAACCCCAGCAGATATTGAGGAGGACTCCGAGGCAGTGACTGTTCTGAACGAGTGTGATATGAACCAGTACAAAACTCTCGTAGGAGAATGGGTTAGTACCGTATTTATGATCATATATCTGGATTTACACCATCATTTTCATGATATGTTTGCTTATTTCTCCTTTATATTCCTGATTAATGCGATCTGTATTACTTTCTTTTAAATTCAACTTTATATTAAACTCAATTCTCCCTTCAGGTTCCCCCGGATGAGCACCCGGAAATAACCCCTCACATGCCCTTACAAAACAACTACATCCTAGGACACATCCTGAAACGTCTGACTGATATTGTGTATCCACCCTCCAATCCACCTACACCACCTCAGTTCCCAGAGTTCCCTATCAAGGCCTGTGTTGTCGGCAAGACTTTCAGTGGGAAAACGTCCGTGCTACAGGCTCTTAGTGCAAAGGTTTTAGTCTTAATGATCTAACTGACTTGAGACTTCGAACAGTTAACGCTTTTTGATGTACAATTTTGATAAAATGTTGTCTTTTATTTGTCGCATTTTTTTAATCATGCATTTAATTTAATCAGAAACGGCTCCAAGTGTTAGACATTGATATTCTTGTGAATGACGCAGTAGCTGCTTTCAACAACAACGAAACAGTTGAAGTGACAGAAATAGTGGAAGTTGGAGTGGCAGTTCCAGTACCATCCCAGGGAGAGGTGGCAGGAGAAGGTGGCGCACCACCAGAGGGAGAGAAGAAGGAGGAGGTGGTGGCGAGTGAAGCAGCACCCCCCGCTGAGCAGGCTCCTCCTGCTGAGACTCCTCAGGAGGTATGTTATAGCTTGTTATGTTGATAAAATATATGTTAGATATGAATGATAATATAATGAAATGTTTCTAGGGAATGAATACTACTTGTTTTCAGATTGGTGACATTCATAACACCTTACACTCTTATATTTAAAACATAGCGGTCACATAAAATGATGCAAATAGTAAATAAAATATAAACCAATCGATTTTATCGAGCTTAAAAGGCATTATTAAATTATTAATCCTCTTAATATAAATGTTCAGGACGCAGTACCTGGAACTGTCCCCTCACCAGTCCCCACAATACAATCAGTGACAAAACAAGTTCCCTCGCCTCGTGCTGTGCTGGGTAAAGCTGTAGAGCAAGCCATGGGCAAGGGAAAGAGCATTCCTGTTCAAATCCTCATCGACATAGTGGTCCACGGAATTCGGTGGGTGTATTTTTAATCCATAGACTTTTTAATCGAGATAAATTCGGTTCATAATATAAATTCGGTTTATAATATAAATTCGGTTTATAATATAAATTCCCAATTACCATACATTTTCAATATTGCCGTGTGTTTAAATGAAGTTGATCCTTCTCTAACGTTCTCCCAATTCTCAGCGAGGTTCCCGAAGGTACCGGCTGGATTCTTGACAACTTCCCCAAAACATTAAAACAAGCGAAAGCTCTGGAAAAAGCCCTGAGCGGTTTCTCCGGTTTTGAGAGCAGAGCCTCGTTCCTGAGTACCCCGCTGTCAGGTGCTAAAGGTAGTGCAGCAGCCACACCCCGGAATACTCCCTCTCCAGCAAGGGGTGGGAGGAACGGGAAGAAGGGGAAGAAGAACCAGCTGGTTGAGGAGCCGGATTGTGATAAACCCACCCCGGTTAGTCTTAGATCCTCGTGTAAACGTTTAAAGTCATCATCTTCAATTCATTTCACAAGTTGTGTACAGTAAACACTTTCAGCACGTATCATTTCATTATAAAGTGTTAAATAACATTCCTAATCTTTAATATTACCCATTTCAGCTGCCGCCACCCATCAGTGGTATCGACGTAATAGTACACCTGCAAGTTCCGGATAAAATAGCGATAAAGCGGGCGTGTGGGCGGCGCAAGCACAAGAACGGAGAGGAGTACCATGAGGTGAACCGCCCCCCTCCTGAAGGAAGCTACACTGGAGTCCCTCCTAGTTATGATGAGTTCAATGTTAAGCACAGGTATGTTGTGATCACGTGTTAGGGTTTTACTCTGTGTCATCATTCAAGTCATCAATCATTTTATTTCTTCTATTATTCTTATGATTTATGGTCTAGCGAACTTTGTTTTATACTTTCATTTAATTCATATTTTGATCTGAAGATGCACTCGCTGGAGTATTTTTATAATTTTTACATTTCAAACACATTGTTATCCCACAACGCACATCATCCCATCAGAGAGGCCGTTTCACCAACCCTTCAGGAGTATTTCTCCAAATCACTCGACACTGAGTTCGAAACTATGTACGTTCTTTAAATAACAATTATCATTCCTTGTCAATTACTGCCAAATAAATTTAATACTAATTTTTGAACTTGACATACAAATTTCTTGAGAGCAATTTTTCTATCATATTATTACCGACCACTTTCTATGAAACTACTGGAACTCACCCTCACGGCTCACCCTCACCCTCACCCAGTGTAACAGACCACTCACCCTCACCAAACACATTCCTAGAAGAGCTGCCTGCTGAGAACTTTGAGATGCCTGCTCAGTAAGTCCCACATTCCACTCATTTTAACTGCTGTTATTTTTACCACGTATTTTTTATATTGCCATATCTATGTTTCGATGGTAAACTTCTGAAAAAAGAGGACTACCAATAAATGAAACCCAATTTATTGTAATAGTCAAGTTTTGGCAGTATTCAAGAAGCCCGACCCAGTCCGTAGCAAACGATCTTTTGTTAAACCCAAAAAGCATTATCATAAATTAATTCATCATTCATAGAACATACACATTGATTACTTCCAAGTCTACTTGATTCATGTTTAGTGTTAAAAAGTAAAAAAAAGTAAAAAGGAAAAAAAAGTAAAAAAAAATTTCGTTGATGTATTAGTATTATCAGCCCTAGCCCAGACACGCATCCTATTGAGGACGATGCTTACAAACAGCTCCAGCCACGGTAAAGCTATCGTTCGTGAAACATCTTTCTGTTAAAACTCGTGATTCGAGGTTTAAACCTCAAACCTCATTTCGCTTCTTTTAACCTTGGCGTGTGCTCTTAAATATAAAGTTGATTACTCGTTGTGTGCTGTTCTGTTTATTCATGTTTTTCTTGTTTTAAATGTATTCTTTCTTCGGAGATTAATTGCATAATTATGTCGACATGGAATCATCGATTGGATTTTTGTGAAACACTAAAAGTCGAGATCTAGTGTTGTGTACGTGTTTTCGACGACTCTGGCCCCTCATTATAATACGCTGATGTTCAGGTTGGTTACATATCAAGAGGAGTGGCCCAAGATGGAGAAGTGGTTTGGAATGTTCAACAATCTCGTTACAGTTGACGCTCAGCAGCCACTCAGTACGTTCTTAGATGTCTTGTAATTATTTCCATCATTTTTTATGGAACATTTGTTCATCATTTGCTAAGAGACTGTCGTGAGATCATCATCATGACTATAAATCCCACCAGGCAACGTGGAAGAGAAAGTAGAAGATCACTTGAACGAGGTCCTGGAGAAGAAACAGAAGCCTCCAACTCCAGCCCCAGCTCCAGAGGAGATTCCAGCTCCAGAGGAACCAATAGAAACCCCCACCAAGACGGAGGAGACTCCTGGCGAGGAGGGTGCTGAACCCGCTACTCCTCCCGAGGGGGTACCAGAAACTATTCCTGAGGAACCTCCAAAACCTCCTTCACCTAAACCTGGTCAGGATTACTTCTGTGCTCATTTGCATCATCGAATAAAGACTGCTGTCACTTGTTGAATCGAATAAGTTTTACTTTTCCGTTTTTAAAGATAGTTTTAAATCAATGCCAAGAATTGGGAAAATCTACCGCTAAACTGAGCAAATTACAGGGAGTGATGAATGGGCTTATGTTGACGAACCTATTCCTCACGATGCAGCAAACATTCTGTTTCCTCAATGGGAACTTGTGGAAGACTCGTATCTTAAACTTTGTAAACATACCTTCAAGAAGATCAGAGAAGAAAGAGAAATAATCATCAGATACTTTTATTCTACTAAAAAGAATTTCGTCGTGTTTTTACAGGTATGCTGTTGTGCTTACTGTTGACTATAATAATTCTGACTAAATTCAAAACTGATTAAATGTAAAAGTACAGGAAGAATTTGTAATAAAAATTCCTTTTTTACAGAGACCCGACAACAAGCAGACTTTCGTGACAAGTTGGGTGAAGAATTACAACAGTGTAGCTGAAGATATGCGTGAGGATATGGAAATGAAGGCAGAACTTCATCAAACTGTAGAGGTAGTTCTGCATTCCTAAGGAATGAGTTATCTTCCCGTTAAATTCCGCTCTATTAACTTGGAATCGTTACTATTTCTGATTGGCACCTAATTAGTAATTAGTGGGTTAGAAGCTCCCTACCGGAACCTTGTTGTATGGCACTAATCACTGTGGCCAGGAGCTATAATTCACTGATCTGCGACTACATAATATGTAGTATTATTATATAATATGACGATGCATGAATGCACTGTAATGTGTTTATGAGTGTTAATGACCGAATCTTCAACCATTCAGGATCTTCAAGAGAGGTTATGGGACATTTCTGACAAGAAGAAAATCGAAGCGGAGGAGGAGAAACAAAGTATTGTGACGGAACAGTGGCTTGAAGATCACATCGGCCTGCTTACCAACCACTACATTCAGCTTCTACAGGTCATTCCAGATCTATTACCACTCGACGTTTCCACTTTTCCAGTTTAAAGTGTCATCCCTCTATTGAATCGATTTATTTAAATTGGTAATCGGTTCGCTCGCGAACATCAAAATTCTTGTTGATAACCATTTGGCAAATTTCAGGCTGAAGTCGACAGATACCAAGGATCGGTTCGTCTGATCCGGGACTACTATCAAGTGAGTGGGAAGAAGATTCTGGATGAGCCAAGAAAAGAGTTTACAAGAGTAGCACTCGTAGAATTGCCTCGGACTGACACTCCCCGACCTCCCAGGTGGGAGTTTTATTTAATTTGTTGTAAAATAGGGTCTACTTGTTGCTATGGCGACAACCCAAAAATTTGTAAGTAAAGTTGAGTTTCAGCAGCAAGGGTGAGCGCGCATTTGGTATATATAGTATTGATGCTTTTCATACAAACAAGTTAAAACAAATTCTTTATGTCGTACGGTCAAACATTTAAGCTACTAGACCTCACATGCTCAATGATCGATAGTCGATACATTCAAATTTCAATACATTGAATAACGCTTTAAAATTGTTTGGCAGGTCTGCCCAGAAGGCAGATATCCAATTCAAAAAAATCTAACCTTTGTAGTAGTTAAAGTAGGATTAAAGTGATAAATTTGAGTTCCTAAGAATGTCTTAAATTTCAGTGAGGAGAAAAATGAACGCTCATCTGCTCGGAGTGATCGAAGCAAGTCAGCAGGGAAAGTTCAATCAAGCCCCAGTGGAGCGACTCCAGGGCTTCCTGCTGTGGATTCTGAAGAAAGTGGGGAGCCTGAGATTCAGAGACGAATACCGCTGGTCGCACGAAAAGCTCTCGAGCGAGAAAGTACATGTGATATGATTCTTACGTGTAATGTAGAATAGATCATTCTTAAAAAGTTGGGCAGTTAAGAGTTATGAACAATTATTTGTAAATTCCAATATTTTGAATAATGAATTGTCCCATTATATTATCTCGCTGATTTTCCAGCTCCACAATCAGGCCGGAAGAGTGGTAGACCTCCAAGAGAAACTCCTGACCAAGACTTGGAAGAAGCTCAGATAGTGGAGGCTTACATCTCCGCTCTTGCAGTTATCGAGCAACTCAAACAACCGTCTGAGGAAGAGGCTGCTGCGGAAGCTGGCAAGGTTAGAATATGGCCTCATTCTTACTTTTCATCACCAATTTTTCTGTCCTGTTTTAGGTTTTGATCCCCTTTCTCATTTCTCACGCTGACACCTCAGTCTTCGCGGCAGGGTAAAGCCAAGGGGAAGAAAGAGAAACCGAAGAAAGGCAAGAAGTCAGTCTCTCCGGCAGTCACACCCACTGCCGGCACACCCGTACCTGAACTTACTCCAGAAGAAATAGCTCGACTGAAGATGCTGGAGAGAGCTAATCTGGAGTGCACGTCTGCATTATTGGCCGAAGATAAGGCTCTTAATCTTAAGCTATCTGTCGTCAAGGTAGATAAAGTTACATTTTATTATCTAAATATATATACTTACGGTAACAATCATTGAAACTGACAGTGCCCAATGGTCTCTAAATTTTAAGTTTCATGATTTTCATCCTTAGTAATTTTAATAGATGTTTGTATATCAGGGTAATACCATTTTTATAATGAATATAAATTCAGCTGAGGGCAATAAACGTTATCAAAGACCTAAAAGAACGAGCATCTAAAATGTATGACGTTCAAAACGATTGGATTGGGCAGCGATTCCAGAAAGAAATGGACAGGTAAAATTCTCGTGATGAAAAAATACAAACTCTTTTATCCTACATGAAATCCATTTTATTCTAAACTACGATAACTCTATTGATTGTTTGCAATAAACAATATGAATTGTCAATCACACCAAAAGTCCATCACCGTTATTCCTTAGCATCAAGACGATGTGTTTGATGCTAAGTGACGTGATAGAGAGTGAGAAATCTCTCCTGCCTCAAGTAATTCTGACTGATGAGAAGTTTGAGGTGGACCTGTCCTACAAGATGTTCGAACCTCTCGTAACCCCACCTCCAGATGAGCCTATTGAGATGCCAACACCTAATCTATTCACTATCGCTCAGGTTTGTAAAAACATTCGGCTAACTTAATTTTAAGTATTGACGTATTTAATTCAAACGAAATAAATTAGAATCGAAATTCTAATAATAATATATTTTTCATATTATCAGGGTTGAGATATATATTTCTTTAAAACTCATGCCATGGTGCGTTGTCCAGTTTCTTCAGAAATCTATTTTTCTCAGATACAAGAACTTCACCGGAACTTGAAGGAGGTAGCTCCCTCGGGCTACATCTCCCTTGACATGCTGACGGAGATGTTCGAGCCTCCTTCTTTTCTCCCCGAGATCTGGCAGAATGTAACTTACCAACAGGTATTTAACTGAAAGCTAGTTAATTAATTAATCAGCTACTAAAGGCTAGTTAATTAATTAATCAGCTGCTAAAAGCTAGTTAATTAAATAATCAGCTGCTAAAAGCTAGTTGCTAGTATTAAAATGAAGTGGACCTGGTGTGATGTTGAGTGACAACAAGGATCACATCTTTAGTAACATTGTATTAATTTAACAAAGTGAGTAAAGACTGATGGCTAATTAAGAATTAGTCTGAAAACATGCACTACTATATGCCATGGTGGTATTTTACGGTATACAATCAATAATTATAATCATTTATAGCTCTTTAATCACGGAATCATTTTAGCTGGAAGAGCTGTTTTCGAGACACTTGTGTGAGACAAAGTATATAAACTGGAGAACGGTTCTGTTGTCCTGTATCCTTCCAATACCTCTACCTTCACAAGCTCAACTCATCAGCACGGCTAAACAGTACAGAACTATAGATAAAGATAACACTGGGAAGATTGATATGGCGGGATATGCTCAGGTTAGAACACGATCACTTATTTTACTTTATGAACGACCACAATTCTCAGAGGCTGTATCCCATGTCCATGTTTTATGTTTTATTCACGATTCTTGACTGCGCTTTTCACAAACCACCATTTCGTTTATTCAGGGTGACCTGTGGTTTGGTAATGAGGATCTCATGACACCCGATGGTACTGCCAAATTTGACAGACTGGGTTACTTAAAGATAACCTTGTTCACTCTGTTGTGTGATGAGAACTACAAGATTGAATACACTGACTTCCTCTTGCTGTTTGCATCTGATCCTGAACCTGGAAACGGTTAGAAGTTCTAGTTGATCCCCTCTTACCACGTGACTCTAGTAGTCCACCTGTTACCTGTAATGATCCCTTCTTACCACGTGACTCTACCCACCTGAACAACATTTTTACCAACTCAAGCTAACTTGAGCTCACCAACAATTACTCTGACCCCTTCAGGTGCAATGAAAGCTCTAGCAGTGATGACCGGAGACGAGGTAGAATGGCCGACATACATTGAAACTCCTGACCCCACCAAAGACTTTGAACAGTCCAGCAGTCACAGCACCACTGGAGCTGTAGAGAACATGCCTGTACGGGGGTCCCCTATCACACTGGAGCAACTTCTCAGGGTCATCTCTTTCAACAGGATGCCTACTCGAAGTCTCAAACTGGTGCAGGTATTAAGCGATGAGGAGTTTATTTTAAAGATATGATAGATAAAATAAGAAATTTCCAGCATTTGACTTAGTTATTCTAATAATATCTTTGCTGCGATCTTAGATAAAACCTTTAGCTCCAAGTACAGTACGAGTTAACTTTTGTCAACAATTGGAGTTGGAATATTAGCATCTAAATACCTATTATAAATTACTGTTGTGTTAACATGTTAATAGAAAACAGTAAAATACTTATAACATTTTATTATACAATATACATTAGTAATATTATTAGTTATATTGATAATATATAGAAATATTATTAGTAACATATTAGTGATATTATTAGTAATATATTAGTAATATTATGACTGAATCGTGTCCAGGACGAAATGACGGCAGTGTTCAAAGAGGTACAAGGAGAGGACGGAACAGCTGACGTCAGTACCATTCTAGTTCACCCTAAGAGTCGGGATATTATCTTGCACACCCCATCATATCTCCTCGTGGTAAGAAATATTCTCACATTTCATGATTAAACCTTATGTTAAAACCCTTCAAAACAGCAAGATATGAGGTGTTCTTTGCATTTTACCCTATATTATAAATCCCAACCCTGACGAATAACGTCCTTACTCTTCAGGACTATCGCACATTACTCCTAGAAGCTATCTCTCAAGACACCAAGTTTGCCGAAAGAGTTTCACAGCCATTGGTGTAAGGCAGATGAAGAGCAAATTATACAAATTAAAGCTATAATGTTTTGGTGATTGGATTTGAAAGAACTGTTTATGATTTCTGTGATGGTTAAAGGATTCGCATGAATTTATTTTCAAGGTCTTTCGGCCATTGTTTGTAAAAATTTTGTAAGCGAGTTTCATTATTCGATCGTGGTATTGTAAATGAACTGTAATATACGTCTAAGTTATTATAATGTAAGATCGTATCATAATGATTCACAGTTTTCTCTTTTTAGATACATTTTTTATTTAACCAAATTTCTTGTACAAAGAATACCTTTACATTGTCAATAATTTGTTCAAAAACACAAATATGAAATATGGGAAAGTTTCTTATTATATATAAAATCTGCAAAATAGTGTGCACTGAAAGTCTGAAATAGTATACCCAATCTTATTTTTTGTACGAATAAAAGTAGAAATTAGACTCCCTGAGTGTCTTATTCATCAGAATAATTCTTTTAAAAACAAAATCACGGAGAATGGTCAGTAACAAATAAAATATCATAAGTTTAAACATTATGGAACAATCTGAAACCGTCTTAATAATCATTATTCCTCGGATGGACCAAAGTTATTTTCATCTAATTCACAGTCTACAAATAAAGGCCCGTCCTCTTCAATTAGTGGACATTCCTTGTTGACAACATCATTCAATTTCTTGTCCTTAGAGTGGCTAACTTGTCTAACGAATTCCTGAGAAGCTTGTTTCATGAGCTGTTTAGCATCCTCTCCTGACACGACACTCTCCTTCATCTTCTTACAAGTATCCTCGACCAGCTGTTTGGATACCAGGTTAGCATAGTACTTGCCTAGCTCCATCAGCTGTTCATGAGTCCCTCTCTCCTTAACCTCCCCGTCCTTCAGACAGATAATCTCATCTGCCTGTCTTATAGTGCTGAGTCTGTGAGCTATAACTATAGTTGTCTTGCCCTTCATTAGTTTGTCCAGTGCCTCCCGAACTTCCTTCTCGTTTTGAGCGTCCAAAGCGGAGGTCGCTTCGTCTAATATCAGGATATCAGGATCTCTCATAGTCAAGGATCTGACGACATTCCCGTCTATATAACTTCCGCCCCGGGGTTTGAGACTTGGAATACCTCAAGGGACCCATTAGAAACAAATTTGGCTTGGGTAGAAATTTTGGCTATGGGGCAGTTTTGCGCAATTGACCACGCCTTTTTTTGGCGCTTTTTCAACTTTAGAATCAAAATAACTCCGCTTCTAATTGGAATTAGAAGCTCAGCTTGGCTTCACAGTTGTTCAGAATCATCACATTTAGGGGGGTTGAGCATAATTTTAAAGTCAACAGACATCGGGTTGTTGAGTTATGTGACCACACCCTTATTTACCCTCGCGAGTCGTGATTTTCACACTAAATACGAGATATCTCGGCTTCTGATTGAGCTACGTGCTCATCCTGGGCATTAAAATGTTCAGAATCATCACATTGAGTAGGGTAGACCACAATTTCAAAGTCCTCAGATGTCAGGTTGTTGAGTTATTAGGCCCCAACCTGTTTTTACGCTCTCGCGGGTAGCGATTGCAGCGCTTAAAATCAAAATAACTCAGCTTCCAATTGAAGTTAGGAGCAAAACTCGGGCAGCAAAATGTTCACAATCATCACATTGAGTGGGGTAGAACGTAGTTTCAAAGTCCTCAGACGTCAGGTTGTTGAATTATTAGGCCCACACCATCATATTTACGCTCTCGCGAGTCGCGAGTCGACACTTACAATCAAAATATTTCGGCTTCTGATTAGAGTTAGGAACTAAACTTGGGCATAAAAATGTTCAGAATCATCACATTGAGTGGGATAGAACGTAGTTTCAAAGTCCTCAGACGTCAGGTTGTTGAGTTATTAGGCGGAACCCTATTTTTACGCTCTCGCAAGTAGTGATTCTATGCTTAAAATCAAAATAACTCTGCTCCTGATTAGAGTTAGGAATTAAACTTTGGCATAGAAATGTCCAGAATTGTGAACATTTTTATACCCAAGTTTAGTTCCTAACTCTAATCAGAAGCCGAGTTATTTTGATTTTAAGTGTCGACTCGCGACTTGCGAGAGAGTAAATATTATGGTGTGGGCCTAATAACTCAACAACCTGACGTCTGAGGACTTTGAAACCACGTTCTACCCCACTCAATATGATAAATCTGAACATTTCCATGCCCAAGTTTTGTTCCTAACTCTAATCAGGAACCGAGTTATCTTGATTTTAAGTGTCGACTCGCGACTCGCGAGAGCGTAAAAATAGGGTTCCGCCTAATAACTCAACAACCTGATGTCTGAGGACTTTGAAACTACGTTCTATCCCACTCAATGTGATGATTCTGAACATTTTTATGCCCAAGTTTAGTTCCTAACTCTAATCAGAAACCGAGTTATTTTGATTTTAAGTGTCGACTCGCGACTCGCGAGAGCGTAAATATGATGGTGTGGGCCTAATAACTCAACAACCTGACGTCTGAGGACTTTGAAACTACGTTTTACCCCACTCAATGTGATGATTGTGAACATTTTGCTGCCCGAGTTTTGCTCCTAACTTCAATTGGAAGCTTTGTTATTTTGATTTTAAGCGCTGCAATTGCTACCCGCGAGAGCGTAAAAACAGGTTGGGGCCTAATAACTCAACAACCTGACATCTGAGGACTTTGAAATTGTGGTCTACCCTACTCAATGTGATGATTCCGAACATTTTAATGCCCAGGATGAGCACGTAGCTCAATCAGAAGCCGATATATCTCGTATTTAGTGTGAAAATCACGACTCGCGAGGGTAAATAAGGGTGTGGTCACATAACTCAACAACCCGATGTCTGTTGACTTTAAAATTATGCTCTACCCCCCTAAATGTGATGATTCTGAACAACTTTAAAGCCAAGCTGAGCTTCTAATTTCAATTAGAAGCAGAGTTATTTTGATTCTAAAGTTCCAAAAGCGCCAAAAAAGGGCGTGGTCAATTTCGCAAAACTGCCCCATAGCCAAAATTTCTACCCAAGCCAAATCTGTTTCTAATGGGTCCCTTGAGGTATTCCAAGTCTCAAACCCCGGGGCGGAAGTTATATAGACGGGAATGTCGTCAGATCCATGACTATCATGGCTGCTCTGGCTATAGCTACTCTCTGCTTTTGTCCTCCCGAGATTTGTAAACCTTGTGAACCTGCAAACGTGTCCATTCCGCTCCGGAACTTGTTGATAAAGTCACAATTAGCCAACTCAGCTGCTTTTTTAACCCTTGTCATGGTGATCTGCTCTGGAGTTGCTGCCCCGTAAGAAATATTCTCCACTAGAGTAGTATTGAGGAGGCTGGGATCCTGGCTGACAATGGCCATCTTTCCGTGGAGCTCTTTCAAATCAAAGTCCCTGATGTCCTTGCCACCGATGGTAACTCTGCCTTGCTGGGGGTCGTATAGTCTCATGAGTAGCTTGGCTATTGTTGTCTTTCCACTGCCAGAGTCTCCTACCAGAGCGGTCATCTTCTTGCGCTGTATTTTCAGGTCCAATCCCGAGAAGACAGTCTCCCCTATCCTGGTGGGATATCCAAAGTGAACATCCTCTAAATGTATGTCTTCCTCTAGAGAACCGACTATATCGCTACCAGAAACCACCTCACAGGGTGTGGCAATAAACTCTACATAGTTATCTACTGCAGACAAATCTTCTTCGAGGAGTTCTATGTGAAAATTCATCCACATAAATTGATTTTGGAAGCTGTCATAAACAATGTAAAACATCATGAGATCACCAGGTCCGAAAATGGATTCTGAGGAGGATAATTCGTAAGCTATCATGAAGGCTAGCAGAAAATATTTAAAGGTATGCTCTGCAAATTCATTCTGAATTCTATTTAGCACAAGGGACCTCTCACAAGACAACCAGCTTTTTTCTGCTACTTTTTGTTCATTAACGTGAAGTTCCTCTTGAGAAAACTGCTTAACGGTAGATACCATTTTTATAGCCTCGCTTTTCAAGTTCTCTGCTCCGGAAAGTAACTTGCTTTTGCATCGCTCCAACGTCATGGCTTGCCTTCTTGCCGGAAAGAGGTACAGAACATTGAAAAGGGCTGTGAATACAATCACTATTCCCCCAATCGTGGCATTCGCTCTCACTAAATAGAACGCAGATGTAAAAATACCAAGAACATGAGCCAGTAAGTAGGGAAAGTTCCAGGTCACTAATCTGCACATGCTTTCAACATTGCTCATACTATTGACTTCAGACTGAGTATGAGAGTCATGGTATCCCTGGTGCAAGGACAGTGCCTTCTCCAGAGAGGTTGTATTCAAAGTACCCATTATCTCGACATGCCCCTGGACGTGCACTAACACATTTCCGAGGTAGACTAGTCGCTCCAATATTACCATCAGCACGAACCCTACTAGGATGGCCCTAATATGCTCAAACCTGCTCTCGCACTTCAACATTGTGTAACAGAGGGCATTGCCGTAGAAGCTTTGGTTGTAATCTGCAGTGTCGTCAGAGATTATGGTGATAAGGTGACCGGTTAGGTTTAATATCTCTAAGTCCATGACTTTGTGGCATATGAGCAGAGCAATAACAACAAACATTCTTATTGTGTACTGTCTGGTGAGAAGAGCTTTGGAGATCGCAGAGAGAAGAGCAGATATGGATAACTTAGCGGTGTGTTCCTTCTTATCAAGATAAACACCCCTCTTCTCAGCTTCAATAATCAGATCTGTTGTGAATTCTTTAGAACCTGTCTTGTCCAGTATCTTGTTCTTCTTCGTATCAAGAAACAAGGCTCCCCGCCCAGCTTTCTTACCACACTTCTCACTCACCTCCCCCCACCAACACTCTGCTTCTCTCTTATCAGAGAACTCCTTTACCTCAACCCCGTCTTCCTTCTCCTTTGTTCCCTGATAAAGCACACTGAACCACTCTTTGTTAACAACACTCTCCTCTCCGCAGGGCTGCTGCTTGTACCCCACCAGTGCTCCAGACTTTATCTGTATGGAAAGTATTTCCATCCCCGGATCAGCTGTTATAATGGTACGCTTGTGTTTCGGTGTTCTTGAACATACGGGCTCGAAAGTAAAGATTCTGCCTCGATTTGTCTCCAGTTCTAGTGATGCTGCCGCCCATCTTCTGCTTATCAGGGTCTCGTGTGTAACTCGGACCTGATGGAGAAATCTTTGTTAAATAGCTGATCGACTTTTAATTTAAGCAATGAATTTATAGATTTTTTAAATGATTAGGGGTCGTTCACATATTACGTAATCAGCCGAGGGGGGAGGGGGGGGGGGTTTCCAAATGCTTACGGTTGATTACCCTCAAGAATAATAACAATTTGACAATATTTTAATTCAAATTCCACTCAATTTCACTCTGATAGTGATAAAATTTAGAAATTGATCGAATATCCGCCTATAATAGTAAGTAGTTTAGAAGGTGCTTGGCCGGATATCATAACAATGATTTCGGCTCATCATGATAGCATGATCAGGGTAGCATGAAACGTAGAGAAAAGTGTTTTCTAGGAAAAAAGTCAAGGGGGGGGGGGGGGGGGGGGTCTTGATTACGGTTGATTACGGAAGGGGGGAGGGGGTAAAAATTGCTAAAATATTGATTACGTAATATGTGAACGACCCCTTAAATGAGAAAACGAGAAAACAAGAGAACAAAATATATATTTTTCTGAATTTCATGAACTTTTGATACTTATCATTCCAATTAAACTACACATACCAAGTATTCGTTATCTGAGAAGATGATTGTTTTTCCGTGTGATTTGCCTCCTCCTAGACCGTAAGACCAAATACTGTCATCATCATACGTTATAATGATACTGTCTATAACCTGTTTATCTGGACATACCAATTTTATAATTCCTATGTAATATCACCATGGCAACAATTTAGGGGTTTAGGGCACAGTAATGGGATAGTAGGACGAACATTTTAAAATCCTAGTCTTTCCCTTATCCAGCATTGCAGCTATTTTTATAGAACAGCATTTGTCTTGGCAGCTTTTCTGCAAAGTGCGTAGCTAGTTGAGACATATTGATATTCAACACTGTATTGTTTTATTCTAATCTCTCAAATCTTAATCAATTAAATCAATTACAGGTGTTAATGGATATTAGAGAACAAACCTTGTATTTCTATCTTCTTGATCCGATACTCTGCTTTAGTTTTGGTGATTACTCTGTCAGGGTCCATGGCAAGGACTGCTAAAAGTAACCGAGTGTTATAAAGATGAATAGCAGAACATTTAACATTGTGTCAGTGAAACATACTGTGACAGTGACTATAACCTTATAACGGGAATGGAAGTTCCGCCATTGAAAAAGTGAGGTAAAATGGTTGATTATTCGTACAACCAAAGTATAGTATTACTATTAACACAATTTCATTTAGGTAAAACTAAAAGTACTACATCAACAAGACAATACCATTACCGTCGTATAGTTTATTGGCACTATAAATTCAGCTGGATTAATTATCCAAGATCGATTTAATTATATTATACATCATATCATATTGTCATTTTTAGATACGTTAGGCAATTTTTCGGTATAAACTTCTTCCATTTGACTGAAATATCCTCATGCTACTCTAAAATGCAAAAAAAATCTTTGATAAAGAGGTATAATTATGAGCTGGTCGCATCGATGTGATTTCGCTAAGCGAAATACCGACCAAGTACGTGCACTCAAGCAGATCATTTAGGAATGAGGATCTCATCGCGTGACACTTCAGCACCTACTAAGGGTATCTCATGTTCAGTCTGGTGTCCAGATGAGATCCCATCGCATAGCGGTTCTTAGTTAGTGATTTCGATAGTGCAGTATAAATGTCACGGAGAATTTAGTTTTGGTATATCACATTTAGGAACCGACCGGATATCCGGCTGAATCCGGATCCGGCTTCAATATCCGGTTCCGGCTCCAGTTTCAAAATGTTGCCGGATGTTTCTTTTAAAAAATTAATTTCTAAAATCTTGAAATGCATTTTTTTGTCACATTTTAACTCGATTCCTTTAAAATATTAAAAATTGTTTAATTAAGTTTGAAAAACTGAAAAATATTTTCGGCTAATAATGAACAGGGCCGGTAGCATGAAACCTGGAGAAAAGTGGTTTTCAGAAAAACTTTGAAAAAATGTTGACAGAAAATTTTCGATCCGAGTCTTTCTCGAATCTCGATACGTACCTCCCGTATCGACTATCGAGAGCTTCCACTTCCGAGATCGTGTTGCAAAGGGGAGGCCTGCCTTCCGAGATCGCATTATCAGGGGGAAGTGTCGAGTTCAAAATTGTTTATCGAGGGGTGGGTGCGAACTTCGAAAAGCTGAAAAATATTTCGGCTAGTATTAGTAATGAACAGGGAAGCATGAAACGTGGAGAAAAGTGGTTTTCAGACCAATTTTGACTTGGTCAATCTCGATACGTACCTCCCGTATCGAGAGCTTCTGCTTAACCGAGCTCGTGTTGCAAAGGCGAGGGCTGCCTTCCGAGATCGCATTACCAGGGGAAGCATCGAGTCCAAAATTGTGTATGGGAATTTTGGGAAAGCACTTCAATTATCAAACCAAATGTTTCTAGAAACTTTGGAGTTCCTAGCTTAAAACGCTTTCACCTTATGGTGATAATAGCGAAAAAGAGGGAGTGGCGAGCCATAACTGCTATAATTTTGCTATATTGTCATTGAAAACTGCTGGTACTTCATAAAGATTTAAGTACTATAGTTTTACACTTAGCTGAAGCTGAAACCCACTATTTATATTCCTGCGGAATTTTGGTCTTTTTTGAGTACTATTATACAAGTGTTCCTGGATCAGCACAGAATAACTAACCTTGCTCTTTTGACCTCCTATAGATGTGAAATCCGCAAGGCACAGTAATGGCTGGCCTCCCCGTAAAAAGCATAATCTGACGGACAGGAATATCAACAGAAGAAGTAGAAGAATTATGATATACTAGCAGGAACCCGTCTAACCCTTGAGTGGTGTCAAGACTCAAGAGACTAAATAAATTATTACCTATTTAATTCGCGTTTTTGACAGCATTCGATCCAGTAAAATAAGGTTCAGTTTTATATCTTTTACGGTTTTTGCTGAAAATCGTGCTAAAGTTGATGCCGTGGTGCCAGTAAATGGTACGGATATATATCGTCTCGCTTTATATATAGTAAGATTAGTTGAACTCTATAATAGTCATCAAATCCTATGATAACTAAAACAAACTGGGATACTTCTAGTGTGTCAGTGTGAACCACAGTTTGGCACTTATAGTTACAGTTACGGTTGATAGATGAAATTTCACATTCTTGTCAATATAATTGTGATAGCTTATTTTTTAACAATCTTATAAATGACTCCTGATTGTTCAATAAACAAGTTCGACAGAGCAAGATATTGAAAATAAAAGCAGACCGGATCAGTGAACCGGAACGAACCAAATGTCCGATCGCCTCCCAGTTGGCTCCTAGTTTATAAACAATAGAATGACTTACAGGAAAATAAATATTAATTTGAATATGAAATCTTACAAGGCAAATATAACTAAATATGAACGTAAAATTCATAAGCGTGGTCGCAAACTATTGTATTCCGGATAAATTGTAAATGCGTCTGAAAATGAGTAAAGCAGCACAACATTTCTCCTGATAAGAAATTTAAAAAACTACCTACGTGTAGAAATGTTGTGGCAAATAAAACAGTGTGATGCTGCTTAAAGATCAGTCAGTGTCACTGCTGTTGACCAGTTTGTGACTGTTCAAAATATGTAAGCTCACCTCGAAATATGTACTTGGGTTTATATACGCGCAATAATTTCGTCATCTATCCAGTTATTAGAATATAATTTCGTCATCATACGAAAGTTAAGAACTTTTGAGTTGCGGAGTTATTTGAAAAATTCCGGTCCTAGATAAATTGCGGTGACCTTATATTATAATTGAATTTATTCTGCTCGAGATCAACGATCTGAAGAAATGACAAAGATTTCCAATCTTCTCCAATAGTGGTGGTATGTCAACAAACTCCGCCCCCAGTAGCCCTATAGTACTCCGTGCATATTAGTAATGATGCGATGAGGGAACGTCGAGACTGAAAACACAAAGACGTGAAACTTATTTAGAGACTACCGGTGCCAAACTTTTAAATTGCTGTTTTCTTGAAAACCGACAAAACTTAGAAGGAGAGCTAAGTTCGAGCTAGAATATGGAACAATTGCACTGCCACACGTGAAATGTTTATCTGATGAGGGCGGTAGTAAACTGACCAAAGCATACACCATGTATGATTATAATTAAACCATATCATTAACAATAGGGGGCCGACATCTTATTCTATCCAGCTAACCCAACTATAATCATCAAAAAGCAGTCGAATAATCAATAGGCAGAACCAATCACGATGAATATGGTATCGCAGTGGCTGATACGAGAACGGTTCACTCGAGAACCGGCCCCTTTCGAACCTGGCTCACGTCCGTTATGTGAACATATGCCGAGAGCTCGAACACTTCTTAATATTATACTTCATAATACACAACTACTTACTAAACTGTCATGTGAACCCTATCCAGGTTCTTGGCTGTCCGGCTGTTAGATGGCTAGAATATGGACCTCTTTTTGTATAGAGTCACGTGGTAAGAGGGGATCTACTAGAACTTCTAACCGTTTCCAGGTTCAGGATCAGATGCAAAACAGCAAGAGGAAGTCAGTGTATTCAATCTTGTAGTTCTCATCACACAACAGAGTGAACAAGGTTATCTTTAAGTAACCCAGTCTGTCAAATTTGGCAGTACCATCGGGTGTCATGAGATCCTCATTACCAAACCACAGGTCACCCTGAATAAACGAAATGGTGGTTTGTGAAAAGCGTAGTCAAGAATCGTGAATAAAACATAAAACATGGACATGGGATAAAGCCTCTGAGAATTGTGGTCGTTCATAAAGTAAAATAAGTGATCGTGTTCTAACCTGAGCATATCCCGCCATATCAATCTTCCCAGTGTTATCTTTATCTATAGTTCTGTACTGTTTAGCCGTGCGGATGAGTTGAGCTTGTGAAGGTAGAGGTATTGGAAGGATACAGGACAACAGAACCGTTCTCCATTTTATATACTTTGTCTCATACAAGTGTCTCGAAAACAGCTCTTCCAGCTAAAATGATTCCGTGATTAAAGAGCTATAAATTATTATTTGTAATTGTATACTGTAAAATACCTCCATAGCATATAGTAGTGCATGTTTTCAGACTAATTCTTGATTAGCCATCAGTCTTTACTCACTTTGTAAAATTAATACAATGTTACTAAAGATGTGCTCCTTGTTGTCACTCAACATCACACCAGGTCCACTTCATTTTAATACTAGTAACTAGCTTTTAGCAGCTGATTATTTAATTAACTAGCCTTTAGTAGCTGATAAATTAATTAACTAGCTTTCAGTTAAATACCTGTTGGTAAGTTACATTCTGCCAGATCTCGGGGAGAAAAGAAGAAGGCTCGAACATCTCCGTCAGCATGTCAAGGGAGATGTAGCCCGAGGGAGCTACCTCCTTCAAGTTCCGGTGAAGTTCTTGTATCTGAGAAAAATAGATTTCTGAAGAAACTGGACATCGCATCATGGCATGAGTTTTAAAGAAATATATATCTCAACCCTGATAATATGAAAAATTTCGTTCGAATACGTCAATACTTAAAATGAAGTTAGCCGAATGTTTTTACAAACCTGAGCGATAGTGAATAGATTAGGTGTTGGCATCTCAATAGGCGCATCTGGAGGTGGGGTCTAAGATGAGAAGTACGAATGAGTCGGACTTTTCAATTTACTCGTATCGTACGTACTTTTCAATTCTACTGAAAATTTCTCCTTCTAGAAATCGATTGAAAAGTTCTAAATCGATACATATATGTATATGTGTTTATCCGAACCATTTTAATGACACCACGGCATCAACTTTAACGCGACTTTTCGCAAAAACCGTAAAAGATATACAACTGCAACTTTTTTGACTGGGTCGAATGCTTTAATGGCCTCCAAATCAGCATGAAAAAATAAAAAATTGCCCAAGGAATAGAAATTTTAGAGCCAAAATTTTGGACCCCCAAGTGGTGTCAAAAACGCGAATTACAACAACAACAACAACACAATATATACCGTAATAATTATTTTAGTCTCTTGAGTCTTGACACCATTTTAGGGTTATACGGGTTCCTGCTAGTATTGTTAATATATAGAAATATTATTAGTAACATATTAGTGATATTATCAGTAAAATATTAGTAATATTATTACTGAATCGTATCCAGGACGAAATGACGGTAGTGTTCAAAGAGGTACAAGGAGAGGACAGAACAGCTGACGTCAGTACCATTCTAGTTCACCCTAAGAGTCGGGATATTATCTTGCACACCCCATCATATCTCCTCGTGGTAAGAAATATTCTCACATTTCATGATTAAACTTTATGTTTAAACCCTTCAAAACAGCAAGATATGAGGTGTTCTTTGCATTTTACCCTATATTATAAATCCCAACCCTGACGAATAACGTCCTTACTCTTCAGGACTATCGCACATTACTCCTAGAAGCTATCTCTCAAGACACCAAGTTTGCCGAAAGAGTTTCACAGCCGTTGGTGTAAGGCAAATGAAGAGCAAATTATACAAATTAAAGCTATAATGTTTTGGTGATTAGATTTGGAAGAACTGTTTATGATTTCTGTGATGGTTAAAGGATTCGCATGAATTTATTTTCAAGGTCTTTCGGCCATTGTTTGTAAAAATAATGTAAGCGAGTTTCATTATTCGATCGTGGTATTGTAAATGAACTGTAATATACGTCTACGTTATTATAATGTAAGATTGTATCATAATGATTCACAGTTTTCTATTTTTAGATACAGTTTTTATGGGTGGGCGACAATTGACCCCCCGACAATTGACCCCCCGACAATTGACCCCCCGACAATTGACCCCCCGACAATTAACCCCCCGACAATTGACCCCCCGACAATTGACCCCCCGACAATTGACCCCCCGACAATTGACCCCCGACAATTGACCCCCCGACAATTGACCCCCCGACAATGTAATTTAATACAATAATGTTTGAATTTTTGTCTGTACGAAGTAAATAAACTGAATTAAGGAAACAACAAATTTATGTGAACTTACAAGTAAACAGGGGTAAGATGGATAAGTGTATTCCCATGTAATTGCTACATTATAGATATACAATTATAACCATACAACGGTTACATTCTGATAGTGATACTGACACATGCTAAAATACATGTTAAATTCGAATCATATATGCACATGCTAAAATATATATAGAATATAAATGTCAAATTCAAATCATATAGTTATAAGCGATCCCTCGGAGGGTCTTATCAGCGTCGGTGCTGGAGTAAGCAGATACCAGGGTCACAATCCTAGCATTGCGAGAAGTCTGCTTAGCTGAGACAGGCTTCTGGTCTCCCCGTGCTATGTGAATCAATGTATTGTCCGTAAGGGCTTGTTGGCGATGTAGCGCCTTCAGGAGTACCCAAATAGTGGGATGCTTACAGCTGAGTAGGGAGTTGAAGGCGTGATGGAAGGCCTCGAGAGCGTTGGTGGTTCGAGTCGTCCCCGTGAAGTGACGCCCGATGACGTTCCACATGGCAAGAGGGAAGATAGGTGCAGTCCGCCGTCGGCTGCGCCCCACAGTTACACCAATCCAAGTAGGCTCGAAGTAGCCGAGGAGTGGAAGCTCGTCATCTTCAAAAGTGTCGGCCAGGACTTCAAAGGCATCGATAACGTCCGTAAGAGGAAGAAAGGCAAGCGCAGCTAGTTTCTTCACTCGGAGCTTGAAGTCTGGATCATTCTGATACTTCGTCATCAACCCCAACTCCTTAACATGATAGTCGAGCCGCTGGCAAAGGTGAAAGAAACACCCTTCAACTTCAACACTAGGGAACACATCTACCAGTGCCAAGTAAGCTCCCTGCTCGAAGTCTACCAAGAAATGAGAGAACTGTAACGTAGATACAGGCTCCAACCAGGCTTTGAGCTGGGTGAAAAGACGTGTATACGTTTCCTTGCGTTTATTCGGCAACAGTGCATAAACACATGGAACAGTATACCCGTTTTTCATCGCATGGATTGTATAGATCTGGTACCACAAAGCAGGAGCTACTTTGAAAGTCCCATCTCCAGCAAATCGCATGGATTCCCGTAGCAAAGCAAGATTAGAATCAGTAGTAAACATTACAATTCTATCATCCCCAGGACCAGAGTCAAAAATCTTAAATGGTTGGTACAGAAATTCCGGGATGCATAGGTCAGTGAGTGTCCTATCATTCGCAGTTGCTAGGTCAGGGTGAGATTGAAGGGTAGACGCTTTCCGCTTGCGCTGTACAGTTCGCTTCAAGGAACCAGGTTGAGGAAGGGAAAGGTTCACGTCCGGTGTGGCGCCGATCAAGGAGTCGGTAGTGATGAGGTTTGGGGTAGCGGTAGGTTCCGTGGTAGCCCGTTCCTTCACATCCTGGCAGATCACTCTCGCTTTAATCTTTGAGTTGTCAGGAGGGTGGGTGTGATCGCGGGCCCATTCCAAGGTAGAGGTAGGAGAGGTGCCAGTGGTAGAAGCCGTCGAGCTGCAGGATATCCCCAAATCGCGGTAGTGCTTGCTGTTCATCTCACATCTCCAGGTTATAGCGCCGCTCGACTTCTCCTTGTGGTAGTTGTAGAGGTAGCCGCCGTGGGATAACTTAGGCTTCGAACGTTCAGATTTGATGAAGGAAAGCATGTTAGAGAGAGAAGTTGATGTGACTGTTGATATTGTGAGTAATTTCTTCGGATATTTAAACCATTTTCAATCCCAATCGGATTCGTTTTAACACGCAATTTCGTCATCCAATCTGTTAGTAGGTACGATTTTGTGCGGTGATCAGGTGCGTTTTCACCAGCAATCGTGATTCGTGCTAATGAGACTCGTTAACCAAGTCTCATTAGGGTCTAATTCGTTTTAACCAGAAATGATGTTTCGTCATCCGATCTCGTAGTACGGTGATGAGATACGTTTTCACTAGCAGTGCTTCGTTAACCAAGTCTTATCAGGGAAATCACGTGACTTGGAAATCACAGGGATCATTGACTATATCAATATGTAGTACTTAAGTATAATGATGAAATAGGGCCAAAAAACGGTGTTTTCCTAAATTATTAACAGCAGCTGAACAGTGAAATTACATCGGGGGGTCAATTGTCGGGGGGTCAATTGTCGTACTAAGCCCTATATTTCGCGACAATTGACCCCAGTGTAATTACATAGGGGGTCAATTGTCGGGGGGTCAATTGTCGGGGGGTCAATTGTCGGGGGGTCAATTGTCGGGGGGTCAATTGTCGTACTAAACCTTAGATTTCGCGACAATTTACCCCAGTGTAATTACATAGGGGGTCAATTGTCGGGGGGTCAATTGTCGGGGGGTCAATTGTCGGGGGGTCAATTGTCGGGGGGTCAATTGTCGCGATACCAGTTTTTATTTAACCAAATTTCTTGTACAAAGAATACCTTTACATTGTCAATAATTTGTTCAAAAACACAAATATGAAATATGGGAAAGTTTCTTACATAAAATCTGCAAAATAGTGTGCACTGAAAGTCTGAAAAGTAGTATACCCAATCTTATTAGTTTTACGAATAAAAGTCGAAATCTGACTTCCTGAGTGTCTCATTCATCAGAATAATTCTGTTAAAAACAAAATACGGAGAATGGTCAGTAACAAATAAAAAATCATGAATGAGTAGAAACATTATGGAAAAATCTTAAACAGTCTTAGTAACTATTATTCCTCGGATGGTCCAAAGTTATTTTCATCTAATTCACAGTCTACAAATAAAGGCCCGTCCTCTCCAATTAGTGGACATTCCTTGTTGACAACATCATTCAATTTCTTGTCCTTAGAGTGGCTAACTTGTCTAACTAATTCCTGAGAAGCTTGTTTCATGAGCTGTTTAGCATCCTCTCCTGACACGACACTCTCCTTCATCTTCTTACAAGTATCCTCGACCAGCTGTTTGGATACCAGGTTAGCATAGTACTTGCCTAGCTCCATCAGCTGTTCATGAGTCCCTCTCTCCTTAACCTCTCCGTCCTTCAGACAGATAATCTCATCTGCCTGTCTTATAGTGCTGAGTCTGTGAGCTATAACTATAGTTGTCTTGCCCTTCATTAGTTTGTCCAGTGCCTCCTGAACTTCCTTCTCGTTTTGAGCGTCCAGAGCGGAGGTCGCTTCGTCTAATATCAGGATATCAGGATCTCTCATGGCTGCTCTGGCTATAGCTACTCTCTGCTTTTGTCCTCCCGAGATTTGTAAACCTTGTGAACCTGCAAACGTGTCCATTCCGCTCCGGAACTTGTTGATAAAGTCACAGTTAGCCAACTCAGCTGCTTTTTTAACCCTTGTCATGGTGATCTGCTCTGGAGTTGCTGCCCCGTAAGAAATATTCTCCACTAGAGTAGTATTGAGGAGGCTGGGATCCTGGCTGACAATGGCCATCTTTCCGTGGAGCTCTTTCAAATCAAAGTCCCTGATGTCCTTGCCACCGATGGTAACTCTGCCTTGCTGGGGGTCGTATAGTCTCATGAGTAGCTTGGCTATTGTTGTCTTTCCACTGCCAGAGTCTCCTACCAAAGCGGTCATCTTCTTGCGCTGTATTTTCAGGTCCAATCCCGAGAAGACAGTCTCCCCTATCCTGGTGGGATATCCAAAGTGAACATCCTCTAATTGTATGTCTTCCTCTAGAGAACCGACTATATCGCTACCAGAAACCACCTCACAGGGTGTGGCAATAAAGTCTACATAGTTCTCTACTGCAGACAAATCTTCTTCGAGCAGTTTTATGTGATGATTCATCCACATAAATTGATTTTGGAAGTTGGCATACACAATGTAAAACATCATGAGATCACCAGGTCCAAAAACTGATTCTGAGGCGGATAATTCGTAAGCTATCATGAAGGCTAGCAGAAAATACTTAAAGGAATGCTCTGCAAATTCATTCTGAATTCTATTTAGCACAAGGGACCTCTCACATGACAACCAGCTTTTTTCTGCTACTTTCTGTTCTCTAACGTGAAGTTCCTCTTGAGAAAACTGCTTAACGGTAGATACCATTTTTATAGCCTCGCTTTTCAAGTTCTCTGCTCCGGAAAATAACTTTGTTTTGCACCGCGCCAACGTCATAGCTTGTCTTCTTGCCGGCATGAGAAACAGAACATTGAAAAAGGCTGTCAATACAATCACTATTCCCCCAATCGTGGCATTCGCTCTCACTAAATAAAACGCAGATGCAAAAATACCAAGACCATGAGCCAGTGCGTAGGGAAAGTTCCAGGTCACTAATCTGCACATGCTTTCAACATTGCTCATACTATTGACTTCAGACTGAGTATGAGAGTCATGGTATCCCTGGTGCAAGGACAGTGCCTTCTCCAGAGAGGTTGTATTCAAAGTACCCATTATCTCGTGATGCCCCTGTACGTGCACTAACACATTTCCGAGGTAGACTAGTCGCTCCAATATTACCATCAGCACGAACCCTATTAGGATGGCCCTAATATGCTCAAACCTGCTCTCGCACTTCAACATTGTGTAACATAGGGCAGTGCCGTAGAAGCTCTGATTGTAAGCTGCTGTGTCGTCAGAGATGATGGTGATAAGGTGACCGGTTAGGTTTAATATCTCTAAGTCCATGACTTTGTGGCATATGAGCAGAGCAATAACAATGAACATTCTTATTGTGTACTGTCTGGTGAGAAGAGCTTTGGAGATCGCAGAGAGAAGAGCAGATATGGATAACTTAGCGGTGTGTTCCTTCTTATCAAGATAAACACCCCTCTTCTCAGCTTCAATAATCAGATCTGTTGTGAATTCTTTAGAACCTGTCTTGTCCAGTATCTTGTTCTTCTTCGTATCAAGAAACAAGGCTCCCCGCCCAGCTTTCTTACCACACTTCTCACTCACCTCCCCCCACCAACACTCTGCTTCTTTCTTATCAGAGAACTCCGTTACCTCAACCCCGTCTTCCTCCTCCTTTGTTCCCTGATAAAGCACATTGAACCACTCTTTGTTAACAACACTCTCCTTTCCGCAGGGCTGCTGCTTGTACCCCACCAGTGCTCCAGACTTTATCTGTATGGAAAGTATTTCCATCCCCGGATCAGCTGTTATAATGGTACGCTTGTGTTTTGGTGTTCTTGAACATACGGGCTCGAAAGTAAAGATTCTGCCTCGATTTGTCTCCAGTTCTAGTGATGCTGCCGCCCATCTTCTGCTTATCAGGGTCTCGTGTGTAACTCGGACCTGATGGAGAAATCTTTGTTAAATAGCTGATCGACTTTTAATTTAAGCAATGAATATATAGATTTTTTAAATGACTAAATAAGAAAACGGGAAAACAAGAAAACAAAATATATATTTTTCTGAATTTCATGAACTTTTGATACTTATCATTCCAAAACTACACATACCAAGTATTCGTTATCTGAGAAGATGATTGTTTTTCCGTGTGATTTGCCTCCTCCTAGACCGTAAGACCAAATACTGTCATCATCATACGTTATAATGATACTGTCTATAACCTGTTTACCTGGACATACCAATTTTATAATTCCTATGTAATATCACCATGGCAACAATTTAGGGGTTTAGGGCACAGTAATGGGATAGTAGGACGCACATTTTAAAATCCTAGTCTTTCCCTTATCCCGCATTACAGCTATTTTTATAGAACAGCATTTGTCTTGGCAGCTATTCTACAAAGTGCGTAGATAGTTGAGACATATTGATGTTCAACACTGTATTGTTTTATTCTAATCTCTCAAATCTTAATCAATTACAGGTTTTAATGGATATTAGAGAACAAACCTTGTATTTCTATCTTCTTGATCCGATACTCTGCTTTAGTTTTGGTGATTACTCTGTCAGGGTCCATGGCAAGGACTGCTTAAAGTAACCGAGTGTTAGTGTCATAAAGATGAATAGCAGAACATTTAACATTGTGTCAGTGAAACATACCTTGACAGTGATTATAACCTTATAACGGGAATGGAAATTCCGCCATCGAAAAAGTGAGGTAAAATGGTTGGTTATTCGTACAACCAAATTGTTGTATTACTATTAACACAATTTCATTTAGGTAATACTAAAAGTACTAAATTAACAAGTCAATACCATTACCGTCGTATAGTTTATTGGCACTATAAATTCAGCTGGATACAAAATAAAAATGTACAGAAATAACTGATTGCGTTCGTGTGAGGTCTACGTTATTTCAATCAAAGAGCGATGAACAAAAGAGCATGCGAAGAAGACGTACTGAGAGAAGCTGCTGGTAAGAATGTGGTCGCAGTGTAGAGTTGATGTAATGAATTGTGGGATTAAACCTACTTTTGTGTTTGGAGCTGCGTCAGAGATTTTGGAATCCAACACAAAAAAAAAACATTATGCATAATAATTAAAAGAGAAACAGTCTCAGTTCACAAATTTGAAATTGCCGTGATACAATAGCTCAATAGGATATACGGACTAATTAGCTGTCAAACTCAAAGATTACTAAACATTAATCCCGTCCTATTTGCTTGTGAAGATGTTGCTAATATAAAGTTATAAGTGCAGTATTAGATCATTTTGTGTGATAAACATTTACTAAAATTACGGTAGCCAAAAATGTGTCCACCAGCAGCAGCAAGAGTGGGGAAAATTTACAATATCTCACGATTTCAATTCCCTAGCAAACTCTCAGGTGAGAAACAGCTACGATTGGATCTGAACTTCTGAAAGTGAAAGTATTTATATATAGAATGAGAGATTAGGTCATCGCAGACTCTTAGCTCATGCTGGAAATTGATCAGAAGAAGTATTAGGTAATGGGCCTTATTACCTAATCTCAACTGCTGTATGACCTTATGAATCAATGATCTAACTCAATTTGGAGCACTGAATTGTGCAAATACCGTCATCGAATTATGGTAACAAGCCAAAGTATGAAAAATGAAATTTATCTGTTATCTGTTACCGTTAGATAAAACTAATATACTCGAACTGGTCCAGCATTCCAGTGAAACGTACTGAGAGATTTGAGCAGCCCACCCTATAGAGTTAGGACAGGTCTCCAGTAACTACCAAACAAACAAATATGAGATCTACTTGTAGGTAACGGTATATTAGAACCAGACAGATACAGAGTGTGAAGGGCCTTAACGGAACCCCTCGGTTTCAGTTCCTTGTTTATAGGATCTAATTTTAACTGAATTTTCTCCATCGAATTTTGAACCTAAGTCCTAATATAACGACAGGGAACCTAACGACAGAGAGAGAGAGAAAGAATAACGCACCAAAGTGAAGATTATATCTGATATACCCAAGGCTAGATAACAGCTGGAACTTGGACTGCAGACTGGTGAGAGTACTGTTTCATTCTCTAAATACGTCCCTCGGACTGCAGACTGGCGAGAGTACTGTTTCATTCTCTAAATACAGGAACTCGGACTGCAGACTGGCGAGAGTACTGTTTCATTCTCTAAATACAGGAACTTGGACTGCAGACTGGCGAGAGTACTGTTTCATTCTCTAAATACGTCCCTCGGACTTTCTTTACTTGGGGCACCAACAGACAACGTTACGCCACTGCTCGGAGGCCCATTATGGCATAAACTGGCATGGAGTTTTAGAATCAACATTTTTTTTTCCAAACTTTTTAATTTCAGTTCAATTTATATCAGACTAAATGATATCATTGGATCCATAGAATTAGAAACAAGTTATAATTAGATTATTAAATAAGTAACAAGTTTTTAATTTTATTTGTCTGAATCGCATTACGGTATGGCATCACATTTTCCAACATTTTTACCGCTGAACGACTGCATTTCTTAAATTATAAAAAAAATCAGAAAGTTTCAGATATTAGGGGTTTTTGAAATGCCTTAAAACGTTCATATCACATTAATTATGTCCGTTCTGGCAATGTCCTATCAAATTACGTCCGTATGTCTTAAAAATACGTTGAGTTTCAGGGCACATTAATATTATGCTATTCAAGGACATAAAACCGCAGATCTGCAATAATTTTCATGATTATTGCCAAAAACAAAATTAAATCACTTGTTATTGCCAAAGCATAACAGTCACAAATAGTTCCAGACATTTAATTTGGTCTCATGATGTTTCACTCCACAAGGCTTAATTTAAAACGTAGGATCTCAAACAGCCATATGCCTTATGAAAGCTCGTATTCTTTTCTGTTTGTCTTTCTCTTTTATTCTTGATCGTCAAAACATATTACGTCCTCTCGATCGTTAAAACATCCATCTTTAACTTTCTGCCGTCACACCTTGTCCACGGGTTAAACTGCATAGTCTCTTGTTACATGTACGAGATTTGAAAGTGAAAGTGAGAATTGGGGTACCACGTGATGACGTGACTAGATGAGATCTGGTTGATCTCTGGTCACGTGGTATCGGAGTAAAGTTAACGGGTGATACTCGTAAAATATCTGTTCCATATTTCGTCGACGAGTCCAACTCGGCGCGCGTCCTGGTAGGTTGTAAACCTACAAGAGTAAAGAGATTATGTATCTCTAGTCATAGATTCCTGTAGCTTAGAATTCGGCTTGAATCCTAGACTACTGGATGGAACCTTGATATAACGGCAAGTAACGAGTATTGAGTAAGATTAGATATTGAGTAAGATTAGGTATTACTCTCTGGTCAGGAAATCCTATGGATTCGTGGTTACAACACATGGTTGTGTTGTTTCACTTCAGTGTTTGACAATGGAGTGAGTCTGAGGGTGCGAGTGTACCGATAATATGGTTTTCAGCTGATAAGACATATAACACAGTTTCTGCATTATAGGTTTAAAAGTTAAGTGTAGGTTAATTGTAAATGTAATACAGCCGAGAATTTCCTCACGGTTGTCATTTACCAGGACTGTGTGTGTAAAAAGTTCGCTGTGTGGTGTGTAACTCGAATCCACTGCACGATAACGGTTATTTATTGTGTATTAAGTTTCTCTTTCAATAGCGATCCAATATCTATTCTAACTTTTATAATATCAGCTTTTATGATAATAGCTATTGGATTGATAATGATATCGAAAGAGAAACTTCCTTTCAGCGCTTTGTCAGGTTATTTGAGTGCCCCACTCTTAATTGTTTCTGATCGCTATCTCTGCTAATGGTATATGAAAATATGATCACTATCAGAGTTCGCTTATCAGTTAAAGAAACCGAATGTATTTGAGAGTTATCAATTGCGATTACATTTATCTTTTTCATTTATAAGTGTAGATCAGCCAAAGTCTTTCTCTTTACACGCAGGGTTGCATATCACGTGGGCACGCGCAGTCACGTGGTCACGCGCGGTCACGTGACAACCACTCACGCGATTCCCACAACCAATGAGGATGGAGTTGTGTAGCCATGTGCACGGCCTCAAGTCACGTGGTAGTGGCGACTGTAAGAGGTTATCACCAACGGTAAGTGCGAATATAAAGTGATTTGTATCGCCCTACAGATTATTGGGACAGAATCAGCGATATCAAATGTTAGTGTTCATTAAACGAGCCATAACGAAAGACTTTGTTTCCATTGAATTTCATTAATACTTCAGTTTCAAGCGGTAGTAACGCAAATCGGTTTCACTTTAAATCTTGTTTTTACGGTCGCAGTTCCTCAAATGTTCATCAGTTACGTCTCGACACGACAGGGTTCTGCTTGAGTTCAACTCTTGGGCAAGATTTCACCATGAGTCAAACGTTTTTCTCATTTAGAGTTTTTAAACCCGAACTGTTGACATGCGTTCATGTGTACCTAGTAGTACGAAGGTTAACATTTAATTCCTATTAATATTTCCGCTGAATGTAATTTCAATCTTGTTCTAGCTAAATTCTCTACCTCGACATGAAACTGTTTATTCTACTCGCACTCTTCGGGATGCTGGCTTTTATCAACTGCGACGAAGCAGGTTAGATATTCTCCATTAAAATTATATTTGCTCCGAGACAATTTTAATTTTAAATATTGCACCTGTACTTAACTCTTCAATCTTCTAGTTGCATAAGGGGTCGTTCACATATTACGTTATCAATACTTTGGCAATTTTTACCCCCCCCCCCTCCGTAATCATCCGTAATTAAGACCGAACCCCCCCCCCTATATTACGTAATTAAGGTTTGACCCCCCCCCCCCGTAATCCAGACCCAACCCCTCTCCTACATTACGTAAACAAGATTAGACACCCCCCCCCCCCCCCCCCCATTTATAGCTATCACAACATTTAAAGCTATCACAACATTTAAAGCCATCACAACTGATTAATGAATGAAATAATCGCAGAGCACTTCTTAAACGAAAACTGGTTTAAAATACGAAAATTTTGATGACATAATTAAGGAAAATTGTCTAATTGGTATTTCGAAAATCGGTAAAAAATTAAAATTTTGATTACGTAGGTAATCATCGACCAAAACCCCCCCCCCCCCCCCCCCGTAATTAACCGTAAGCATTTGAAACCCCCCCTCGGCTGATTACGTAATGTGTGAACGACCCCTAATGCGTATCCATTTCTACAGTTGTTGCCTAGTCTTACTTTTGGAAAGGTTTAAGTGAAAGTTTAACGACAAGTTCATTACCTCTAGCTTTTATCTAATCTGTTTCCGCGGCAGGAGGTGACGGTGCAGCTGAAGGTGACGGTGCAGCTGAAGGTGACGGTGCAGCTGAAGGTGATGGTGCAGCTGAAGGTGACGATGCAGCCGGAGGTGACGATGCAGCCGGAGGTGATGATGCAGCCGGAGGTGACGATGCAGCCGGAGGTGACGGTGCAGCCGAAGGTGACGATGCAGCAAGTAAGTGTATTTTGAGGGTACATTGACTATTCGTATTGATCTCAGCAACATAATTTTATTGAATCATCACGGGTAGACGTCCTTGTTGTCCACCCCTCACTCTAGCCTGGACCACTAAATTTGTAAATAAGATACCTTCGATATTTAGAGTTTATTCCTTATTAACATTTTAATTTTCAGAAGACGGAGCAGTTCCGATGCAGCTTGCCCTCCTCGCCCTCTTCCCTGCTGTGGCCCTAGTTTTCTAGACCAGTTTCAGTTTTACTGAGTTGAGGACTTATCTATGTTGAAAGTACGATTGTTTTGATAAATTGTTTCTTGCAAGTGATTGTGAAGTTGTTTTAATCATTCATTAATTTTTACCATTTTTATTCCCACTCATGAGAAAATTTACGATTATCTAATGTGTCTTTCTTCGTTGAACAACATATTTCTCAAAATTTGACCATAATTATTATTTAAGGATGTTTACTAGCAATAAGGGTGGTGACTGGTGTCTAAGGTTGAATTGGTGAGCGTTTTGGGAGATCGTAATTATGACCGCTCAACTGATATCTTGATTCTACGGTAATAACTTGAACCTGTTCTTATGGAGGGGGGGGGGGGGGGGGGGAGCCAAGTGGATATTTGTAGATATTTGGATAATGTCATCCACTTTTTTCGTGAATTATCCATTACAATAATCTACAAATATCTACATTTATCTACAAAAAATGTATATCTCAAATATGTGCCCAGAAATTTACTGAATTTTTGGAGATAAATGTATAAATTTGTAGAATTTGTAGAATTTTCGTGAATTATCCATTGATAATAATCTACAAATATCTACAGGGTGGGCCAAAAGTCAGTACCCATACGTTGGCCTTTATAGCTCAGTCACTGAGTGCCCAATTTAAATACTTCCTTCTGATATGACTTAGTACCACCACTGGTTCGAGGAATTTGTCAACTCGAAAAATATTCGCGTTCATTTTTTTCAAATGGAGGTTCATTTTCACATTTATTTGATAGTTTGGATAGTTGGATCAAGCTTAATGTTATTAAATTGTGTTTGGCCATTCGAATTACGTTTGTCCTGAAAGAATTAAAACTGTAGCTTCTCAGATGACCGAGATATGAAGCATAACGAGTTTATTCATTACGTGTGATCAGGTGATTGGATTACCTAATCACGTGATAAGGTGACCCCGTTAACTACCCCGTTAAACATTATGGGAATTGTTAAGAGTGCCCAATTAAGGTGTCGTGTCACGGTGTCACATAATCACCCAGTCAATTTTTTTAACGAGATACAGAAAATGCTTGATAACTTCGTCATTTCTAATCCGTTTTGCCTCATGTTTTCAGATCATATGTAACATTTGATAATCTACCGTCTCTGAAAAAATTAGGCGTTCAGCATGTTCAGAGAAAACAATATAGGTGTTTTAATATTGAATGGGCGTGGTCTAAAATATTCGAATTTTCAAATTTTGACGACGGAATCCTCGAACCAGTAAGTACAGTATGCAATCTGCAAAGCAACAGCTCTCAAATATAAAACACGGCGGAGCTATTAAGGCCAACGTATGGGTACTGACTTTTGGCCCACCCTGTACATTTATCTACAAAAAATGTAATCTCAAATATGTGCCCAGAAATTGTACTGAATTTTTGGAGATAAATGTATAAATTTGTAAAATGTCATCCACTTTTTTCGTGGATTATCCATTCTACATTAATCTACAAATATCTACAAATATCCACTTGGCTCCCCCCCTATGGAAAACTGGTGAGCATATTACTAGTGAAGATATTATATCGTTCAAATATGAGTTTGTTAATGCAACTAAATCCTTACAATAGCCATAATATAATGGTACCGATCTAAAGTATTCCTTTCTGTTCAACCGGTAACTCATTATTCGTCTAAATTATAAGATGTTTACTAAGTATTATCTGTTTACATTACTATCAGCGCGTATGAGACCTGGCATAACTGAACACTTGAGCATGGAGCAGGTCAACTTGGTTCACCATGTTATTAACACATAATAATATAATAAAAACCACAGTAATCTCAAACTATTACAGCATACAGACTTTCTGCTGAACTGAATGTAATACTAATGGCGACTGCCCACTAAGGTTAATTAATTAGCGTGTTATAAAACTATTTCTCTTCACTTTTACTGGACTACGCTCAGCCTGACATTCTGTAAATGTCAGGCGAATCTCTATCTATGAACACTATTATTATATAGCCTGGTATGGGGTCCACAGTTAATCTGCACTGCTGCGCGTCCAACAGGTTCATTGACGATGTCAACCCATCGAGATCGTTGCTCTGCGATCAAGCTAAGCAACGATCTGCGATGCAAGAATGATAGTTCGTGCCGAAGCGGCGAAGTCAAGTCCTCTAACCCAACCGCCACAGGATAGGGAGTCTGGCTTTTACATTTTACATTCCATCTCTGATATCTGACTCTGCGCCTATCTTGACTTACCTGGGGACCACTCGGCCGAATAGAGATTCGGCGGAATGGCAGGCTGAGCACCGCCTAGTAAATCTTGACTTACACCTACGGGCCAACTACTAGTAGTAGTACTAATGGCGTCCGGCATATTGTAGGTTTAACTTTACAAGTACAACCTACCAGGACGCGCGCCGAGTTGGACTCAGATATTTTACGAGTATCACCCGGCATATTGATATTCATATACTTATAGCTAGGTGGGTTTGGAATTTCGGACTGTCCCTGACTGGGGAGGGTGACTTTGCCGGACGTCCTGAGTTAATGAGTAGGTTGCCCCTATAAGTATAATGCTATATATTATTAGGTTGTGGTTTGGAATACGACTACGAGCAAATATGCGTGTTTCTAGCTTAATAATAATATCAGTTATACTTATGAGTATCTCAATAGCTGATAATGTCTATACCTGAGGCCCCAGGCTATTATATTCATGTTCATCATCTTATGAAATTGAATAGAAATTAGGCGGAATAGCCCGCCCAGTAAAACTAAATAATGTCAATGATATTATTGATAATTATTATGGCGTTTACCACATACACTGTTATTTGTAAAAATTCGGCGTTTTATCACTATGCTATTTTTATTTATAGAATGGATATTTTATTATTTGTTCATAAATTTCAGCAACTTCTAAGGTTCTATCGTTTCAAATCTTAATCAACGTACAATGTTAACGATCTATCGAAAACAGTCTGGAGTCTTGTATAAACGTAAAACACAATTTCATTGTGATTGTCTACTGTTCAGGTTAGTCTTAGAATTTGGGTTGTGGTTAGGATTATGGTTATATTACTAATACTATTAGGTTATATTAGGATCATAACGAACTTAACTTAGCTTCGAGGTTATGGACAGAGTTGGTATTACTATTATTGGGTTTTATTTCGGCGAGACCGTTTCTTTCGGTTACAAAACTGGGAACATAGGAGGTACGCATCGCCACTCCGTTTAACGTTAAGTTTAAAATGGAAATATTGCCATTGGTTAACGGTTACATTTTGTACCTCATCTTTGAAATGAATTGGTTTGCCAATGTGATTGGGTGATGTCGGCAAGAAACCTTTTATCGATATTGACTCCTTGAGGTATTGCATTGGTTGTTGTATCGAGAATGATACTGATAGTATTAGTAATAGTAACGGTATGGGCGGCGCTCAGCCTGTCATTCCGACGAATCTTTATACTTATAGTTTATCATTATGAACATTATAGCCTGGGTTCCCCAGGTACTACGTAAGCAATCAATCCTTACTCTTAGCACTGCAATAAATACTTCATTACCTCGTCAGGAACCTCCTATTATATGGTATATATAATTATATATAATTATATGTCTATGGGGCAATATTGTATCTGGTATCTAAATCTTCCCACATTGGTCTGACCATAGCCAGAAGCACTTGCAGAGCCAAAAGCGCGTCACGTAGTACGCGAAGACTCATGGTTATGTAAACTTTCCACACAATATTGTATTTGCCTTTGGTATCTTCCCACCAAGTACTATAATTGTATAACAATAAAGATAAATTTAGTTTGCTCGGCGTTACTCTTCCACCTTCTGTGGCTGTTCCAGACTCCGGATATATCGTTGTCACTGATCTTAATGTCAAGTTGAAGTACTCTCATCACCAATCAGTCTGAGTCAATCAGTGTTACCTATTTCAAGATTGTTTAATTATTTTAGCCGGGTTATCGCCTATCAGCAATACTGTATTACATGCAGGTGTGATGACACACTATGTACTATTATAGTATTATAGTGTGTTACCTGGCAGTGGCACGCCACTCCCTATGCTGATGCATTAGACTTTCAATATTCCATGGACCAGCAAGCTAGGTAACATAGTAATAGAGTGCCGATGTAAAATTGGCGGTTTAAAATTTAAATCAATTCTACGGTAAAAATACGTTTAGTTAAACTAAAGTATGTTCCTATAGTTCATAGCGTATCGAGCAAAAATATTGTGAGGCCAATGATCAGAGATCTCGACCTACAATTCTAAATCGGTACACTATAAACAATAAATTTATCTACACTCGAAGATTCCATCAGTATTTAATTATTTATATTATTTAATTAATTAATTGTAACTAGTTAAGCGCCAGTACCCCTACCCGACACCTCTGCTCCCTACCTATGCCCCGATGATGCAGAACGTGCCCACTATTCCTCATGCCTCGTCTTAAACGTGCAGTCCATGAATCCGAGCGCTTCAAGTACAAGCCGTTGGAAGGTGCCCGATATTTCCGCTTACATTAACGATGAACGAGCGAGAAATCATTTCTTACCTTTTGTAGCGCTCACTGAGACTTGGCTCAAACCCTATATGGCTGATGCCCAACTACATGTTCCAGGGTATACAGTCTCCCGATGTGACCGAAGTGGGCGGGTCGGAGGCGGAGTTTTGCTCTATTCCCACATCAACATACCTGTAAGTGAGTGTGATACGTTTGATGATGGTACCTGCGAGGGTTTATTTTGCAGATTCAGCACTAATAATACATGTGTTGTAGTGGCTTATCGACCCCCAAATGCCCCCCTCAGCAGTTTCAACTCACTTTTGGAGTTTATCTCCACGTGTATTCACCGTGTTAATGATGAAAGCTACGATATTATGATCGCAGGTGACTACAACTTACCCTCAATAGACTGGCAGACTGTATCCGTGTCGTCAGGAGGTTCCAGTGAGACTCAGCTATCAGCTCACTCCCTTCTCAACTTCATGGCCAAGCATCTGCTGAGTCAATACGTCCTTTGTCCAACCAGGGGTAACAATGTTCTAGACTTGTTCATCACGAATAACAACAGACTTGTTACTAATGTTCAGGCACAAGCTACCTCACTGTCTGACCATCATCTGGTGGATGTTATGCTCG